TGGGAACTGGGAACAGGCAGGGGACACGGGTGGACTGTGGGCCCGAAGGAGGAGGGGATTGGCTGTGCCTGCCTTATCTGCTCCTCCGTTTAGGCGAGCAGGGGCTCGCTGTATTCCCTGGAAGCCACCCTGGAGGAGTCGGCTTGCAAAGACCCCATGGTGTGCCAGCTCCCTGTGTCCAAGAAAACCTTGGTGAGTGATTTCCACCCCCGGTCCCGCCCACCCCAGGCCCAAACAGCAGTTGGGATATTAGGTCAGGTCAAGAGCCAAGGGTCTGAGGGAGCAGCAACCTGACCCTTAGTTACTTCTGAGGCCTCCAAGGCCAGAGACCAAGAAGTGTTGGGGTGTTGGCTGTGCCTCTTCACTGTGGGGCCATTGCTTTGGGGGTGGACCCTTTCTGAGGAGCCTTTAGGTCCTTTTGCCTAGAACTTGTTCCCATCCCAGCCCCCACACTGGCTTATTCCTCTCTCTACAGTTCTGCATTTTCGAAGTCCTGGAGGAGCTGGGAAAACACACTCTGTTGAGGCGGGACTGTGGCCCTGTGGATACCAAGGTTACAGGTGCTGGGATAGCCCAAGGAGGCTGGGGTAACTTAGATCAGTGATGTCGAACCTTTGATTGTTTTTGTTTTGATTTGAGATAGAGTCTTGCTATGTAGTTCAGGCTGGCCTTGAATTCCTGTGTATCCCAGGCTGGCCTCAGACTTGAGGCAATCCTTCTGCCTCAGCCTCCCAAGTGCTGGGGTTACAGGTGTGAACCACCATGCCCGGCTATAATGGTGAAACTTTTAGAGCTTTCAATGGTAACAAATAGCCCACTGTGGCACATGCGCCATGGGTTTGCCACCACTGGCCTAGATCGTACTTCACTTAGTGTTCAGCCTTAATTTTCTCTCTGTTCCAACCCTATCCAGACCTCAGAAATGAGACTTTCAATTCAGTCCTTCCACTGTCGAGCAAGGATCCTCTTCCTGAGGTGAGGAGCCCATTTATGGGGAGCTGGCTGCTGCCTTTTTCCCCATCTTCTCTCTTCACCTTAGAGGAGGGCTGTTGGCTCAGGCCAAATTCCTTATAAAGATCCTCCTGCCTTTCCAGGAGTTTTCTATGAAGATGATTTCAATCTTCAAGAACTTTGTTGCTACCTATAATCGAACTTATGAGTCAAAGAAAGGTGAGGACTCAGCTTCGGCTGTACCTGTCCCAGTCAGATTAGGGCCTTACCCCAACTTGGGAGGGGAGGGACACAAGAGGCAGAACATCCTTTCAATGACCCCTCGGTCCCCAAGTTCTTTTCCAGCCCTCTGGGACTGGGAAGCCATCCCAAGTATCTGTCTGCTTCTCTTATCTTCCTGATCAGAAGCAGTGGGTCTCCAGCCTTCTAGGGAGGGTAGGATGGGGCAGAGGGTAGATTTTTCTCTGGGGAAGGCCCCCAACACCATAGCCTTTCCTATGACCTCTCCTGGGGATGCCCCTTAGAACCCATTTCAGTTACTGTTTTCACACCTGAGAAATCATTGCTCCAGTTTCCCCCCAAAAGTTGATCACAGTTCCCACTCCAGCACCCGCAGTTCTGCCCTTGCAATCTCACCTGCCCCAGGCTTCTGTCCTTACAAAGAGGTTCAGGCCAAATCCAGAATCCACCTAGTCCCTGGGAAACCCTTTGCCTCTTAGCCCCACTCAACACTGGCCTTATGATCTGTCTGGGGTCTGAGTTCCTCCTTTCCTGCTCTTTGGTCCTCAGAAGCCCAGTGGCGCCTGTCTGTCTTTACCAGAAACATGGTGCTAGCGCAGAGGATCCAGGCCCTGGACCATGGCACAGCTCAGTATGGGGTAACCAAGTTCAGTGACCTCACAGGTAGGGTTGGAGCCTGGGAGAGAGAAGGTCTGCTCCCAAGGACCCTGGTCAGGGTTAACTTACAGCACTCCTCCCTCTATGCTCTGCCCCTAGAGGAAGAGTTCCGCACTATCTACCTGAATCCCCTCCTACGAGAGGAGCCTGGCAAGAAGATGCACCTAGCCAAGGCTGTGCGTGACCCTGCCCCACTTGAATGGGACTGGAGGAAAAAGGGGGCTGTCACCGAAGTCAAGAACCAGGTTGGAGCCCTGGAAGTAAGGGTGGGCATGCATACTGCACTGGGACTGGGGAAGGGGTCCTGCCTTGATACTGTCCATGTCTTGCAGAGAATGTGTGGGTCCTGCTGGGCTTTCTCTGTCACAGGCAATGTAGAAGGCCAGTGGTTCCTGAACCGGGGCACCCTACTCTCTCTCTCAGAGCAAGGTAAGCATCTTGCTCCATACTCTTTTTTTCCCCAGTCCAGCCCCTCCAGAGGGTTCCTCAGGACCTGCTTTCTGTCTCCTAGAGCTCTTGGACTGTGACAAGATGGACAAGGCCTGCATGGGTGGCTTTCCCTCCAATGCCTACTTGGCCATCAAGAGTTTGGGTAGGCATTAATGGGGTCAGGAGGCGCAGCAGGTATCTCTTGTCCTTCTGTAAGAAGCCAACTTGCAAGGGGGAGAGACAGGAGCATGGAAGTCACACAAAACTGGGTTTAAGTCTTACTGCTGACCTGCTGGGTGTGGTGGTGCACACCTGTTAGCTCAGCTCTCTGGGAGGCTGAGGCAGGAGGATGGCAAGGTTGAGACCAGCCTGAGCAATGTAGTGACTCAGACCCTGTCTCATTAAAAAAAGTGGGGAGGGGGGGAGATAAGTAGAAAGGAATGGGATTTAATCCCCAGTACCACCAAAAAGAAGAGAAAAAAGTCTTAATACTGACCCTTGTTGGCTGAAGACCTTGAGAAAGTCAGTTCTGTCAGAGCCTCAGTTGCCACATCTGTTAAATAGGACTCACCATGCCCATCTCAGAATTGCTTTAAATGTCAAGTGAGAAAATATGTGTAAAGTCCACGTGTATAACAGGGACTCAGTGGGCAAGCAGTAGCAACACAACACACCCCTGAGAGGAAATGTGACCCTACATTGGCAGTTCAGTTCATTGGTGGGCTGTAGTGGCAGGATAGAGCTGGACAGAGACTGGCCCAGGACCTGGGCTAAACTAGAGGGGACTGTCAATGTGACAAGCATGCCAAAGTCCACAGTCCAGGAAGGCTGGGGTGAAACCTCAGCACGACAAAGGCTGGGAGTTGAGTCCTGTCTCTGCCACTGTTTCTGCTGGTCACTGGCTGCTCCCTTTCCCACCTTCCTCCGTCCCCACTGTGTTATCTCTGGAATCTAGAGGTTTCTCATGCGGGGAGGGGATGAGGAATGTGAGATCTTGTGTATAAGGGGAGAAAGTCAGCGAAGGATGAATGGCAGTCCACTCTTCCTCTGCCCCCTCAACCCACCCCCATTGTTCCCCAGGAGGACTGGAGACAGAGGATGACTACAGCTACCAGGGCCACATGAAGGCCTGCAACTTCTCAGCAAAGAAAGCCAAGGTCTACATCAATGACTCAGTGGAGCTGAGCAAGAATGAACAGAGTGAGTGAGGGGTGGGAAGAGGCCCGGCTGGGTGAAGCTGGACCAGGTGCCCACTGATGTGGCCCCTCCCCCTCTCAGAGTTGGCGGCATGGCTGGCTGTAAAGGGCCCCATCTCAGTCGCCATCAATGCCTTTGGCATGCAGGTGAGGTCCTGCCTTTGTCACTTTGCTTCATCTCTTGCCCATCTTTCCCTTCCTCCTTCTTGGAGCTGGCTCTCTACTCCTTATTCTCCCCCTAGTTCTACCGCCATGGGATTGCCCACCCACTCCGACCCCTCTGTAGCCCTTGGTTCATCGACCATGCCATGCTGGTTGTGGGCTATGGCAACCGTGAGTTTTGCTGACAGTCTGTCCATCTACCCTATCCACAGACAGGGGTCAAAGAGCAGCATCTCAGGACCTCTGAGGGGAAGATGAAGGGAATGCCTAGGAAGCCTCAGCCTAGGGGAATCATGTATCCCTTCTGTGGCTGGGACAGATGAGGCTAGGGGAGGTGGAACAGTTATACTGCAGGTAGTGGTAGGTGCCCTCTCCATGCCTCAGAGCTACTCCAGGCCTCTGTGAGGGTAGTAGGCAGCCCTCTCTTGGTTCCTGCTTTTTCCTAGTACCTGTCTTACAGTAGGCCCACTGCAGATATGTGAAGGGTGTAAAGCACTTGAGGCTCTGACTGGAGAATTGGGGGCCTGTGACCCCTTGCCCTCTACACTGTTCCCCAGGCTCTAATGTTCCTTTCTGGGCCATCAAGAACAGCTGGGGCACTGACTGGGGTGAGGAGGTAAGTCTTGCCCACCTGGCCTCTGATCTCCACCCTCTACCTTGCCTGAGCCTCTCACCAATCCTCCCTCCCTCAGGGCTACTACTACCTGCATCGTGGGTCCGGGGCCTGTGGTGTGAACATAATGGCCAGCTCAGCGGTGGTAGACTGAGGAGCCAGTGGCACAGGACCTGGTACTGACCAGAGAAGCTCCTTCCCCGGCCTGATCCCATGTCTAGATCCTCCCCAGGAGGCACAGCTGACTGACCAAGGGGTGGGTGCTGGGAATCTTAGGGTGAGCAGGGGGCACTGGACCCTACTTTTGTCTAACCTGCTCCTGCCGGAAGCCCCCTAGCTGCACCTTTGTTGAATTGTGGTGTGGTAGCTAGGACCCTGGGGTGAAGAATGTTTTCAGAGAAGCCAAAGCTGACGCAGGAACCCAGGGTTTGGGTAAGGAGCAGAATGAAAATATTCCTATCTTAAACCCAGCTCTGTCCTCAGCAGGCTCTGGCTTCCTGCCCTGGCTTTCCTCTGATGCTGTAAATTTTCTGGTCCTCCTGGATTTGGGGACATTGACCCCTTCAACATTCAGGAAACCTGTAATCACCTTTCTCTAACAGGAATAAAAAGGTGTTTGAGTTCCCAGTACAGTGTGAGTACTCAGTCCCTGAGGGCAGGGATGGGTGGTAGTAAGTCAGGGTGGGATAGCTGGACCTGCCCAGGGGTCTGAGGGCCCAGCTTCTACTCTAGGAGCCACCAGGAAATGGGAAGAGGGCCATGGGTGGGTCTTTATTCAGGAACACTTGGTTGGCCAATCCCTGAGGCCCTTGCTCTGGGAGATGGATAGGATCAGCTACAGGGAGCACCCTGCCTCCATCTTCCATCCAGAACTGCAGGGGTAGAAGTCAGAGGTCAGAGGTCGCTCTCCCCATAGAGGGCACTGGAGAAGGCCACATAGTCCAGGGCTCCAGCCGGAGCCCCGGAGCCCTTGTATGGTACCATCCGGCGGATGCAGTATTCAGCCTGCTCAGCTGGGAGCTCCCGCCTCAGCTCCTCAGGAGTGATGTAGTTCTGGGGGAGACAAGGTGTTGAGGTCCACTGTCCCATGCTCTGCCACATGCCACCAGTCCCCCCACTGCCCAGGGCTTACCTTGTCTCCTGCCAGGATCTTGAAAGAGGCCATGACTTGCTCAGCTGTGTCTGTCTCAGCTGTCTCTCGAGTCATGAAGTCAATGAAGGCCTGGAAGGTCACCACACCAGCGGCATTGGGGTCCACCATGGTCATTATGCGGGCAAACTCCACCTCTCCCTGCAGAAATAAAGGCCAGGTGTCATGCTCATGGGTGCTAACATCAAGAAGCCTCCCAGAGTCCCCTCCTGGGAACTGTACAGATTTGGCTTCACAAACCCAGGGAGAGGATGCTGCCTTCCTCCAAAGACCTCAGCCTGGTTTAAGGAAGTCTTTTGTGCTAGGCTAAAACTTCCTTTGTGCCCTTGGCAACACTACTTTTTGCTCATTGGTCCTGATTTTTTCCTGGGGCCATAGCCCTTTGTAGTGCTGCTTCTCTAAGGTAAAAATAGTGCAGGCTCAGACCTTGGGGTCACCCAGAACAAGGTCCAAGTTAATTTACCATTGCCAGTCCCCATGGGGTGTGACGAGGAGTAGAGATGATGACATGTGTGAAGGGAGGAGGCACACAGGAGGTGATCAATATGCAGGAGAGGGTACCAGTGGCGCTCCTGGGAAAGGGGTTGGGGCACTTACCAGGTCATAGCCCATGGAAATGAGGCAGGCTCGGAAGTCATCGGGCTCCATCATTCCATTCCGCTTCTGCAGAGCGTGGGTGGATGTCAGGCTTGGTTCCCCACCAGGCCCCTTAGTATCTTACTCTGCAGGCTGGGACCCTGCTGACCTGGTCAAAGTGGTTGAAGGATGCCCGGAACTCGTTGAGCTGCTCCTGGCTTAGGCCCTTGGCATCTTGGGTCAGTACCTGATTCTCTACTTCGTTGATGGTGCGGGCGATGGAGGTGAGCAGCTGCTCCCAGCCCACACGGATGTGCTAGAGAATGAGAGATGGGCCAGTCAGTGGGTGGCTGGTGCCTGGTCACTATTCTAGCCCCACTCTCAACCCTCTGTGACCCCAGGCAAGTCCTTGCCCTCAATGGCCTCTGTCCCCATCACCAAGTAACCCTAGTATCCCTTCATGCTTTAAAGTTTGATGATTTATTATGTATTCAGTATTGACTGGCCAGCTATGGCCAGTCCTGGCCTGGCTTTAATCTGCTTTGTGACTGAACTGGTCACTGTCCATTGCTGGGTCTCAGCATCCCCACGGGGTATGCTGCCAAGCTGAACTGGAGCCCTTCTGGAACAGACATGCTCCATCCAGCTAGGGTCACGCTAGCCTTCCCCAGCCTGTGCAGCCTTCCTCTCTCAACAAGGCTCACCTCCATGCTGTAGACTGTGTGCTTGTTGTCGAAGACCAAGCTCTCCTGTAGCAGCTGGTGGTCACCTTCCAGCCGGTCGATGTTGCTCTTGTAATGAATAATGTTCTGCTCCTGCTTCCGCAGCCCTGCCATCTGGTCGTCCAGAGAGCCAGCCAGCCCTGCTGCCAGCCGCCCCACCTCCTGCAGGGGTACCCAGGCAGAATGAGGGCTCCCAGCTCCCGGGGGCCCTGCCCTGGCCCCAAGCCCAAGTGGCCCCACTCTCCAAGCCTTTACCTCCACCTTTGCCTGGATCCAAGGTCCCACAGCATTGGCCTGGGCGGCAAACTGTTGCCGGAGCCTCTCATTCACCTGTTGCCGTGACAACTCCTCCTGCAGTGTCTGGTCACGCCTGGGCACCAACTTTCGGACCTGGGAAGGAACTTGGTTAGTCAAAGCCAGTTCTGGGGGTCAGGAGATAGCTTTGAGGAGAGATGGGCCCTAGCCTCTCAAACCTCAGCCCCTGTTGCTGTGAGCCGAATTGGGCCATATGAGCCATCTGTGAGGTACATCACTTAACCTCTGCAGGCTCAGTTTCTCTATGTGCAAAATGGGTCCATGACATCATTTGTAACTAATATAGATGGTTTTATGAAAGATAGCTACACACACAAAAAATTTTTTTGTACCAGGGATCAAACTCAGGACCTTGTGCTTGTGAGGCAGGCGGTGGGACCACTGAGCTAAATCTCTGGCCAGTTACACAAAATTTAATTGTTCACATCAATCCTGATGAGAGATGCTGTTGTTACAGCCATTATAGAGATGAGGCCATGACAGGCAAGGTGATTTATCCAATGTCACACGAAGGCAGCTGGGGATTTAGCTCAGTAGTTCCGATGCCTGCCTTGAAATGTCACACGAAGGCAGTGGCAGACCTCAGATCTGGAGGTCGACTCTGTTCCCCGTATCTTGGGACACCTAAGGCTTCAGGGTGTTTAAGAGTATGTATGAGAGGCTCAGGGGACAAGGCAAGGCTGCTGGTGGCACTGACCGTGTCCCACTTGGTGTTGATGTCTTGCGGGCTAAGGGTGATGTAGGGGTTGGTGGACGAGGGCCGCAACCCATATGTTTGGCAGATCTTCTGGATCTCGCCCTGAATGCCCAGGATGGCACCTCGCTCTCGGTCAGCCTCGGGCAGTGTCGCCTTGAACTGGTCATGCGCTGTCAGCAGGCTCTGGGGGTGACAATCAGGAAGGATCAGCCTGGATCTCCCACAGAACAAGAAGAGTGGGAATGCCTGCTAGGCCTGGTCCAAGAACACAGGCTGCCCACCTCCCAGCCCAGCACTATGGAAATGGGTTTTTCCGCTATCCTCATTCCACAGGAACCCAAAGGATTTGGAGCCAGCTTTTCTTTTTCCCCCTCTATTGGGAATTGAACCCATGGCCTTTGCACTGAGCTATATCCCCAGTCCTTTTTTATTTTTATTTTTGGGTTTTTTTAGATAGAGTCTCGCTACATAGTCAAGGGCTTAAACTCACTATGTAGTCCAGGCTGGCCTTGAACTCACAGTGATCCTCCTGCCATGGCCTCCTGAGTGCCTTTTTTTTTTTTCTTAGACAGAGACTAAGTTGCCCAGGCTGGGCTTGAACTTGTGATCCTCCTGCCTCAGCCTCCTGAGAATGCTGGGATTATAGGCAATGGCCACTGTGCCAGGCTTTGGGGCCAGCCTTGCTGTCATCCAACCCATTGTCCCCTAGGACTGCCTTCAGAATGCCTGCACCCACCTGGGTCTCCTCCACCGAATGCACCAGCCACACGTCCTGTAGATCCTCCACTGCTCCATCCAGCCAGTTATTGAAGGGTGCTGCCCGCCTTGAAAACTCCAGTTGCAGCTGATCAATAGTTTCCAGGAGCTTCTCCATCCGCTAGGGGCAGACAGGACAGGGAGTCAGCACCTCCCCAGCAGGCACTGCCTCACTGCCTGGCCCCCAGCTGTCTGGCCCCAGACTCCACCTCTAGTGCATCCCGTCTCTTCTGGGTCAGTGTGCCCAAGTTGTCCCATTGGTCACAGATAGCCTGGCAGTGGCTGTTCACCGAGGCCACTTCATGGTAGTCCAGCTCACTGGGGGTGAGAAGAGGCCTGAGTGTGGGGCCAGACCCGGGTCTCAGTTGCCCTCCCAGGGCTCGAAGTAGTGCCAATGGTGTTGGTGAAGGCATAAGCAACAGAGGGCAGTGAGGGATAGAGCAGAGCTTCTGCAGGGGGATCCCAGGTAGGCATCCCATGTTCTTAGCTCCAGTCCTTGGAGGTGCTTAGCTGGAGGGGGGGACCTGAGATGTCGGCCAGGATTATTCGAGAATGGGGTGGGTTTGCAGGAGGTGGTGACAAAGCCAAGCTTGAAGATGAGGTTTAGGGTAGTAGGCTGGGGCCCAAGGTAAAAGGAGCAGCCAGGTTGGGGGACAGGCCATGGAGTGGGACAAACACCAGTGGGCAAAGAGTGTGGGCAGCAGAGCTGGTAAGGAGATGGAGCTGGGGTTCCAGAAGGGGAAGAGCAAACGATGCAAGGACTTGGGTACCATCACAGGTTAAGAAACCCGGGACAATCTGGGTTGTTGAGAAGGGCGGGGTGGGGTGGGGTGCTGGGAGCAAGGCGGGGCTCGGCGTGGAGGAGCTGGGTCAGTCAGGGACGTGGTCTCTAGGGCGGGTCTGCCGCGCCTACTTGAGCTCCTGAGCTAGCGCAGCGATGTGTTCCACACGGTCCTGGTGTGCAGCCAGGTCGCTCTCAAAGGCTTCATGGCGCCGCAGCAATGCCCGCACCTCCTGGAGCGAAGCCGACTCATAATCGCGCTGGTTTAGCATCTCCTCCTGCCCTGCTCAGAGAGAGGTCCGGCTCCAGTTACCCGATGGCAGCCGCAGCAGGAGCAGGGCGTTTGGGCCGGGCTGCAAGGGCAGGTGATGACAACTGCCCAGCCAAGCCTAGCGGTTTCCTCCAAGACACCAGCATAAGTGAAGCTCCTGATCTGCAGCACGGCCAGTAAATGAAGCTGCCCCTTGGTTCCATTTTGAAATCATTTGGATGCTAACTTCCTCTCAATGACTCTGTAAGCCACGCGCTTTTCTCCACAGCTTGGCACAGTTATGTGCCCTTGGTAGCCTCTGATGAACAGGGTATTGGTTGGATGAATGAATAATGAGTGTAAAAGTACTTTGTGAGTGATAATTATCTTCATTTTGCAAATAACGACCTATATAATCATAATAGTGGTAGTGCTACTTTATTGAGTGCTTCTGTATTTTGCAGAGGAAGTACCTGAAATTTAAAGGTTCAGTGATCTCTCCAGCACCATATAAATAGCTGTAAATTTAAGGAATTCTTAGTCCAAACTATTGGTTTGTTTTTTTGTTTTGTTTTATTTTTTTGGTACCAGGGATTGAACTCAGGACCTCGAGCTTGACAGGCAGGTGCTGTGCCATATTCCCCAGCCCCAAACTATTGTTTTTTTATTATATCCACAATCCATTTTCATTGTTTGTTCTTTATATTTTGGCTGGACTTATTTGTAGGATTAAAATCTCTCACAAAATACTGAATGAGTGACTTTATACAGTGACTTAAAAAGTAAATTTTAGAGTAGACTTTATAATGTGAAAGGCAAAATAATAAAGCTTCTTCCAACACTTTTTCATAAAAGGCACTCAGTAAATTAGGAGTAGACATGAACCTCCTCAACCTAATAATGAATGTCTTCAATTAAACCTAGAGCTAGGCATGGTGGCACAGGCCTGTGATCCTGGCACTCGGGAGGCTGAGGCAGGAGGATCACCTTGAGTTCAAGGCCAGCCTGAACTACAAAGGGAAACCCTGTCTCAAACAAAACAAAACAAACCTAGAGTTATTCTTAGATGATGTAGCGATTTCACAGAGTGATATATTTGACTCATGCAATATTTTGCATCAGTATGACATAAGTAATGTTAGGGTTAGAAATGGATTCATCTTTGGACACCTGCTGTATACACAGAATGTCTGGCTTTTTTTGTTTGTTTGTTTGTTCTTGGTACTGGGGATCGAACTCGGGTCCTTGTGCTTGCAAGGCAGGCAACAGAACCACTGAGCTAAATCCCCAGCCCCACCTGCTATATATACAAATACAATGCTAAATTACAAGTTAATCAGAAAAGAAGGAGGACCAGAGTCTAGAGAGAAGGTTAGGGGCCTGAGTTTACACATAAAGAAACTGTGATCCAAAGAGGGGCCAAGATTACAGCAAGTTAGAGTGGGACTAGAAATCTTGTCCCCAGCTTCCCTGCAGAGGACCTACCCCTGTCCTGAGCATTTTGCTAGGAGTCCACTCCAGGAGAAAGTCCAGCCCCTTGAAGTGCACCTACCCCAGGTCCAGGCTTCATGCAGGGAGGCCTTCTGCTGGAACTTCTCAGCCAGGTGCTGGAGTCGCTGCAGGCGCCGGATCTCTGAGAGCAGCCAGTCTTCATAGCCTTTTTCCACTTGCTCCAACCCTCGCCATGCATTGGCAATGTCCTGTGGGACAAGCAGACGTGGCCTCCATCATGGTTCATCCATTACAGAGATGGGGACACAGAGCTTAAGGTCACCCAGAATATGTGGGCAGAGCTGGGGTACCCCCAGGCCCGGCCTGGCTCACCGAGACCAGCTTTCCCTCGGAGGGCATGAAGGCAGGCCGGTGGCTCAGCCGTAGCTTGGTCTGCAGTGTGTTGAAGTTGATCTCCAGCTGGCACTTCTCCTGAACTCGGGGTGGCTTGTGTAGGCGCCAGTAGTCCCGAAAGTCCTCCAGCTTGCGCTGCATGGCACGCATGCTGGGCTCGCCCACCCGGTTCTCCAGCCATGGGACAGTGCGGCGGATCCACTCCAGCAGCTGCCAAGGCCAGTCAGGGGCAGAGAGTGCTGAGCTGACTGCCCACCTCACCTACTCTTTTCCACCCACAGCAGAAGGCTGAGCTTTAAGTACATGGGGTGATTTTCAGAACTATAGAGGACAGAATGCAGTAATCTTTCCCCACTGGTCAGGGAAAGAATAGGATACTTTTTTTTTTTTAGCGTGGGGGGGTCAAACCAAGGGCTTTGTGAATGCTAGGCAAGTGCTCTATCACTGAGCTGCACCTCCAGCTCCAGATAGTTAATTTCTGGGCCTAGGGGCCAGTGTAGGTTGGCACAGAACAAAGGGCCAAATAGCTGCCTAAATACAAGGGAATGGACTGATGAACGAATGAGTGACTGAATGATGAGTGGATTAGGGAATGCCCAGGAACTCAGGTAGACAGAAGGGCAGGTGATGGATAGGTTGGATCAGGAGGAGGCTGCAGGGAAGCCAGGACTATGCTGAGAAGAAAGAGACTCTACAGGCCTACGTGGGGGGCTAGCAGGTTTGGGAAGGCCAGCCAGGCCTACATGGGGAGAAAGCTGAAAGGGGGTCTCTGGCCCCAGCCTCACCTCACTGGCCAGCTTCTCATACTCCTCCATCAGCCTCTCATTTTCCTGGTTCACGGCCAGCACCTTGCAGATCCTGTTGGCAGCTGTCTCTGCCTGTGGTGGGGTGGGGAGGAGGGCTGGCATTAAGACAAGATGCCTCAGACACCCCTGACCCAGCCTCCCTCTAAAAAGCCTTGAAAACTTGGACTGGTGCAAATCGGGGTGGAGGAATAAAGGGAACAGATTTCTTATGTTGGGGAGGGAGCTGCTAGGCCAGATGCCTCTGTTCCTGAGCTCCCTGAGGACAAGTGCTTGCAATTAGGACAGTGGCACCCCTATAACTACATGGTTAGGAACTTCCAAATGTTGGACTGCTGTCAAGATTGGACTCTTGGGCCTGGCCTGAGCCCCCAGGGGTTCAGCATCAAGGCCCTCCTTACCTGCTCAGCCCCAGCAAAAGCATGGTAGAAGCAGGAAACATAGGTCATGATGGCTTTCTCATCTGGCTTGGGGGTGTTCACGATGTCTGGGGGAGGGCAGCAAAGTGTATGTTGACCAAAGCCAGGGAAGAGAATGAGCTCAGCAACCCTCTTTCCCCTCCCCCATCTCCTAGGCAGAGAAGCTCCTCAAGATGGCAGCAATGGAGACACCTAATCACCAGCTGCCAACTAATCCAAACCCAGCATCTTTCTCTTCCCTGAAGCCCTCTCTGATCACCCTGGGGCTTGGCAACCTCCCCCTCTGTGAGTTGAGCAAAGCATGAGGCCCTAAGTGACTGAGCAGACACTGTGACACTGCCGGTACCCTTACTCTGACTGTCATTTCCCCCATCTATGCACTCCAGGCTCAGAACCAGTCCGCTCCTTTGGTGCCCACACAGCCAGAGCACCACGCACAGCAGATCCTCAGATGTTTCCTGCTTCATTGCCTAAATGCCTTGCTTGGTCACAGGCAGAGGCAGGATGTTCCCCAGAGAGGCTGCCAGTTCTGGGGAACCAACAGTATCCCAGGTAACCCAGAGAACTGGAATATGAGATACTCTATGGGGAGAGTCAGGACAAGGCGGGGAGACACGATGGAGGACTCCCGGAGAAGGGGACCAGTGAAAGGAAAGATTGTGATCATGAAACAGGATGAGGGCCAGACCATCCCAGGAGGAAGGAAGAGTAGAGTGTAGGTATGGCACTCGGACCACACCCACCCATGAGGAAGAGGGGTCCTGGTCTGCATGAGGCTCAATCTCACCTTCTGCATCCAACATCTTGGGGATATCTAGGTATTTCTCTGCCACCTCAAAAGCAGTGTTCAGGTTGCCGATGGGGTCATCCTAGATGGGTGTGACAGGGAGAAGTGAAAGGTCAGCTAATAGCAGAGGTTGAGGAGTTGGGGCTGGGTTGGGTCAGAGGCCCACCTTGCGTAGTTTGGCATAGTCAATGAGGTCAGGCCGGTGTCGGTGGATGAGTGCACAGAGAGCCAGGCCATCCTTCCAGCTGGACAGAGACAGGGGGTGTCAGGCCTGGGCTCAAGTTGAGGCCATGCTCCACCCTCAGCCCAGGAGCACCCCAGCACGCTGGCTTCATCTGGTAATGGAAGTAAAGTACACACGTCTGCGCTCTGCAAGCCCCTCATTGTCAGACTTAGGCCATCTCCTCCTGGCTCCTCAGATTCCTGGGCTTAGATTGGCTCATTTCTAGCTGGGTTTGGCCTCCACAATGTCTCTGGCAGGAATCCCTTTTCAGGGATTTTAAACATGCTCCCTGCTCCAGGATTTCTTGGTAACCTTCCTGGATTCAACATTTACTAAGGCCTCCTATCTTCAGACTCAGTGATCCCTCCCTGCCTTGTGGCTTGGGACAGAGGGCCAGCTCTGTGCCCTCCCTGACCAGGCAGGCTCCTCTCTGCTCCCCAGTGCTGATGGGCTTACAGACCTGGTGTGAAAGTTCTGCACATTAACATTACGGTATGGTGCCGTCTTCCGCTGGCACCACAACAGCAGACCTTCCTTGGCAGAGGTTTCTGGAGGGGGCAAAGGAATGGGAACATTAGTTGGGAAGGGGTCTGAGCCAGCCCTCCTCTCGAGCTGGCCTTTTCCCTCACTACTCACCCTCTACAGAGATGTCCTGGATAGCAAAGCGGAGGATGATGGTCCAGATCATGCCCAGGGTCATCTTCAGGTTCCCATCAACAATCTCTGCAGGGTAGAAGAGAGAGAATAGCCTCTGGTTGGCACTTGAGGCCTGTGTGTCCGAGCTTTAGCTCACAGTTCCCCTGATTAGCCCTCTGGCCCTTGTCCACCACCTCAGGACTGGCACCTAATAATTGAGCATCGAGCAGGTACTTGGTAAGCATCTGTTGTTATTTATTTGTTTATTGAGACAGAGTATCACTATGTAGTCAAGGCTGCCCTCAAACTCTACATCCTCCTGCCTCAGCCTCCCAACTGCTAGAATTACAAGCATGTGCTGCCTTGCCTGGTTCTACTGTTATTTTTAAATGATTTATTGACCACCTACTAGGTGCCAGGTGCTATGCTGACATAAACTTTGGGTACATTTATTCCTTTCGATTCCTTCCATGAGGCAGGGATGATTATCCTCATTATGGGGATGAGGAAACTGAGGTTCACAGAGGTGACTCGTTGATGCCAGAAGAGCCCCCTGCTCCCCCTAGACCCTATCCTGCCCCTCCTCACCTTCAGCACCAATGGACACCAGTTTCACCCCCTTGCTGGCAATGAAGTCCAGGGCCTTGTTGACATTGGCGATTTTGTGGAAGCGCATCTTTCCTTTGTCCGGCCTAGGCAGCCTCTCTCCTGAGAATAAGAAAAATTAAGGATCAAAGATCATGAGAAGCAGCTGAAGACATTGTCCCCAGGGACACCCTCCCCTGACAAGCTCCTTCCAGTGCTCCTTCCACTATTGTCCCACTCCCCCATTCCCCTGGGTCCTGGGGCACTGAGCATGGATATGAACCCTCACCTGAAATGACCTCCAGGAGCAGCATGAGCTTGAGGCCATTGCGGAAGTCCTCCTCGATATTCTCAATCTGGGTGCCTGCCTTACGCAGGTGTGAGTTGCACCAGGCAGTGAAGGTCTGGGGACAGAGGACAGTACTGAGACCCTGTGACTGACTGCTCAGTCAGGGAACATCTCAGAGCCTGAGGACCTGAATGCACATCTCATCCCAGTTGCTGACTTGCTGTGGATCCTGGGCCAGTCTCTTTCTCTCTCTGAGCTTTAGTTGTCATGGAAGGCAGAAAATGAGGTCTGGGATTTATGCTAGGTCCTTTAGCAAGCATTCTAGCTTTGGCTAAGTTTTTATTTTTTTATTTTGAGACAGTGTCTCCCTATGTAGTTTAGGGTGGCCTCAAACCCACTATGTACCCTAAGCTGGTCTTGAACTCAAGGTGCTCCTCCTGCCTCAGCCTCCCAAGTCCTGGGATTACATCCACTACCATTACCATACCTGGCTTGGCTGATCTTAAGCACTGACAGGGGATTCAAATCCCTGCACCCCGCCCCGGTACCGGGGATCAAACTGAGGACCTTGCGCTTGCAAGGCAGGTGCCTCACCACTGAGCTAAACCTCTACCCTGGGTATTTAAAATTTTTAACATACCCCCAAGTGTGGGGTCCCCTAAGGTGCAGGGGTCAGGGCAGGGTTATGACCTCTCTAAACGCTGAGAAATTCTAGATAGAGGCTCATGTGCCCTGAGGGCTATGGATTGGCTTCCAAGGAGACCCGGTACATGCAAGGGCTGTGGATGATTCACCAAGCACTCAGGCCCAGTCTGACCTGGTTCCTGTCACTGGAGGTGTGTAAGTGCACACTTAGAACTACCCAGTGGGGACCCCAAGCACCAGAGAGGGCATTTGTCTCTGTAGTTCTTTCTAACCCTGGAGTTTGGATGCTTTGGGTCTGGATAGGGAATAGGGCAGGGGCAGGGGCACAGGTAGGTCTGGATAGGGTATGTGAGATGTGTGAACCCTGCCCTAAAGGAACTCACAGTCCATCAAAGAAGCATGTTGGTCTGAGAAGTGCTGGGAGAGAAAAATGGAGAAATCTATGGGAGACACTTTCAAAATTGGGGGGAGGGGCATGCTTCTCAGGGAGGGGCTCACACTTCATCAGAGCTGCAAAGGAAGCTCAGGAACTACTCTGGCAGGGAAGGGCAGGCAAGGGCTTTCCAGGCAGGGGGTAGCCCCTCATTGAGAAGAAGTCGGTCTGTTTGTAGGACTTGACTTTCTGGGTATTGCTGGAATGAAGCTGGGGGTGTTGGTGTATCAGTGGCGAGAGGCAGGCCAGAGGGGTGGCAGGGGCCAGGTCATGCAGGATCTAGGATGCTAAGCTGGGGAGTTTGAACTTGACCCTGAGCCACAGGAAGTCAGCAAAGCTTCAGGCAGGAGGGAGGTGGGCAGAACTGTGTTTCAGAGAGCTCCTTCTGGTTGCAGAGTGGAGACGATGGCTTGCCAGAACAGAAGGGACAAGTGAGGAGGTGCAATGGGTCAAGGGCAAGAAAGGAAGGGTGTTATCAAGGGGAATGAGGCAGGATGGATGGGGGGGTGAGGTAAGAGGCAGGCAGGGGCTTTATTTTGTCTCTTGCTGAATCCTGCCACCTAACAGCACTGGGACCTTCTTAAGAAATGTTTATCAACCAAATGTTTTCGTATAAAGAGAACACAGGCATCAGGAAGAAGGGGGAGTGCTCCAGGTCTTTGGGAATGATTGGATGAAGAAATTACTACTAAGAAAGTTAGCTCAAAAGAGCAGGGGCTGGGGGAGAGCTAAAGGGATGGCTAAAGCTAATTACAAAGATATTTATTACAACCTTGTCATAAATGATATTGGATGTGAACAAAATGATCCAAATGTCCCGCTGCAGGGGAGGCTAATTGATTGACAGAACATTTACCAAGGGCAGCTGTTGGAAGAATGGATGAGGTGGGTAGCTGTGAGTTGCGATGAAAGGATGTTCCTGATATTTTAGATGACAAAGGCAAGATATAGACGGGCATGTGTCATATGAGGGGCATGTGGACCTGCAGATGGGAGAAGCCTGAGGGGTTGGGGGTGGGGATGGGAATTGTTGCAAAGCAAATGACAGCTGGAGCCAGGAGCAGGGATGACATCACCAGAGATGACCAAATCCAGGGACCACAGCTACGCTGGGAGACAGGTGCAGGGGCAGTCTAGGGGGGCTGCACCCAGGTCACCCCAGGAGAGTCAGCTCAGCCTCCCAACCCCTGGGGTCAACACCTGTCACCTAACCCAGTGGAAGTGCACTGATTCTAGATTCTGGGATTCTCAGATCCTGCAAATTCCACATAGCACCCCAGTGCCCTGCCCTTTCCAGGAGCCCTGCTTTGTTGCCAAACACTCAGCAGCATCTAATCACCTCATGGTGCCCTTCCTACCCCTGTCTGCCACTCCTCAAATTTTTCTCGTGCAAGCTGGGCTCATTTTCTCTTTAGGGAATCCAGGTGTCCTGCTCCCTCCACTGGTGAAAGTCTGGGAATGAAAATAGTTCAGGGAGGGAGGAGGGCCTAAGTGCCCTACAAGGCTGGGCTGGGCAGCTGCTGCCCATGTGGCCTGCTGTCTCAGCACAAAGTGCCCATCAGGCTGGAGCATCAAGTTACTACGTAAGGGGACCCAGGGCTCCCCTCCTCCCCGACCCTGTGGCCTTTTCAGCAGACTCAGGGCCCCTGAAGCAGAAGAGGTATCTTGGAAAAGAGTGGGGGTGGGACTAGGATCGAGACCCTTAGATTGAGGGCTCCTGTTTTCTGACAGTATATGATTTGGGGGCCACCTCTGCCTCTTTCTGAGCCTCAGTTTCCTCAACTGCCAAGTGAGATAGAGTGACTGTGGACTCACCCTGGAAAGAATACAGAGAAGAGGATCAGGTGGGATTTGAGATATCCCCCTCTCCCACACTCCCAAGTCCCCCAGCATCCAGCTTATCTCCTTCAGGGTGGGGTCTTAGAATATTTAATTAGAGAGTGGAGTGGGCATGGAGAGAGATTATTCTTCTTGAACCCCATCCCCCCAGTTTGTATCTTCTGGGCTTTGCCCAATCCCTTTTTGCTAGCAGAAGTGGGGCAGTAGGCCCAGGGGAATAAGCCTAGGATTGGGGAGACCCTAGGATAGTCCTTGACATCCTAGACCCACATGAGGGACCTCAGCCTGCTTTTCCAGCCCTAGGGGACAGCAGAGGGCTGGTGGGCAGCGCCTGGGCTGAGCAGTAGCAGACGGGTTAAAGTCGAGCTGTGCCCCTGTACTGCTGAGATACTCAGGACACGTGGCCTGGCCTCCTAAGGCCTCAGTTTTGCCGTTGGGAAATGGGCAATCACTCACTTTCCGCTGCTGTTTCTCCCAGGCCGGGTCCAGCAGGAGGTCGCGGTCCCAGTCCTCCTCCTGTTCCATGTACTCGCCGCTCCCGACCCCCGCGAAGGGCCCCTCCCCGGCCCCCAGACTCTCGGGCTGCATAACCATCATCATTTCGCTCTGGCTCCTGGCTCCGCTCGGTTCGGCAGGTTCTGGGACACCCCGGCCCGTTAAGTAGGGCCCGGACCAGCCCCGGATCGGATTCGCACTAAATATGGGGGAGGTGGGTGGGGCCGGACATGGGCTAGGGCGTTCAGGTCGGGACTAGACTAGAGGGTGCACTGGAGCCAGGGGTTGCGGAATTGGGGGACACTGGGGTGGGTCTTGTGGCGGAGTTCTGGGGTTCGCGTTCCAGCTCCGTCGCTTGGGCGCTGTGTGACCTTAGGGAAGCCACAGGCCCTCTCTGTTTCCTCATGTGTAAAACAGAGATGACGACACTGATTGTGGCTGCAGACTGCCCTAAAGGCTACCTCCGGGCCTTCTCCTGAGCCTCTACCAGCGCCCCGCGGAAGGGAAACGGAGCCCCATCCCCATTTCACAGTCAGAAACACGGCGGCGCCAAGCTGTTTTAATGTTTTCTGGGGTGCTGAAGGGAGATACCCGAGCACAGGGAGGGGCTCTGAGCCAGCTGGATGGACCTAGGCAGGGCTATTAATATCTGGGCGGCTGTGGGGAGGTGGGGGAGAATGTGCTGAGCCGGGAAACCCCGACACCACGGAGGATGGAACTCAATCCTCCGAGAGAGCCAGCCAGCCTCAACAGCTAGAGTAGCTCCCGTTGGACTGGACTGAGCCCGCGCGGTGGGCGGGACGATGAATACTGTGTCACCTGGACTCTAGCGCCAATCGGATTTTGAGCACCTCCTGGCTCGTTCAATAGACCAATCATCTCTCGTCATCTACGATCCCGCCCTTTGAGTCTAGCACGCACCGCACCCCCCTCGGAGTCTCTATTGGTCGCTGAAGATGACCGTCTGCCGCTACCCCCGCCCCAATACGGAAGCGGTGGGGTTCTAGAGCTCCCGTAGTGGGTGGGTCCAAACCATGGGGCAACCGGGGACGCCCACGCAGCTGCCCCTAGTGCTCACGACGCTGTGGGCCGCCGCAGTGGTCCTGGAGCTGGTTTATGTGCTGGTGCTAGGTCCCGGGCCGCCCCCGCTGGGACCCCTAGCCCAGGCCTTGCAGCTCGCGCTAGCCGTCTTCCAGCTGCTTAACCTGCTGGGCAACGTGGGGCTGTTCCTGCGCTCGGACCCCAGCATCCGGGGCGTGATGCTGGCCGGCCGCGGCTTGGGCCAGGGCTGGGCGTGAGTGGGGCGCGGGGCTCCGGGGCAGAAGCGGGAATCTGAGGCGGGGGAGGGGCACCAGATTCGAGATGTTAGAACCAGAGTACGTTTCGGCCGGGTTGCTAGCTCCAGCAAATTTGGGATAGAAGAGGAAGAATGAGTATTATTTTTTCACTCATTTCAGGATCTGAGGGTACAATGAAACATTCTCCACCACTTGGAATAGATCCCAGTGGAGGTGGGGGACAGAGGATAACTATAAGCCTGATAAGTATGCAAATTATATGAAATGTCAGACAACGTTAGTGTGTGGGAGCAAAAATTAGAGGGGGGCTATCTGGTCAACTTGGTGAGACCTTGTCTCAAAATACAGTTTTAAAAGAGCTGGAAGCTGGGCCTAGTGGTGGCACTTTGGGAGGCTGAGCCAGGAAAATAGCAAGAGCACAGACGCCTTAGTGATTCAATGAGACCCTGTCTCAAAAATACAAAAGGACTGGGTGTATAAGTCAATACCAAGCCCCTGGGTTCAATTCCCAGTACGAAAAAGGTGGTGTGTGTGGGGGTGCTGGAGATGTAGCTTATTGCTTTCTGGGATCAATCCCCAGTGCATAAATAAATAAATCAGCTAAGGGGAATTCAAGTTTCTGTTTTAAATAGGTAATCAGTCCTCACTACCAGAAATAAGTTTGAGGTGATGGATTTGTTAATCACATTGATTTAATTATTTTGCATTATATTAAAAAATTATAGTGTGAACATTGGAATTAAAAATAAAGGCTGGGCATGGTGGCACATGCCTGTAATCCCAGCACTTGGGAGGCTGAGGCAGGAGGATTGCCTCAAGTTCAAGGTCAGCATGGGCTACATAATGAGACCCTGTCCCCCCCCCCATAAAATAATCAAGGGAGACCTCATTGAGGCATTTGAGCAAAACTTGGAGATGACTTAGCTTGAGAATTTGAGGGCAGAGTGTTCCAGGCAGAGGGGCCAGACCATGCAAAAGGCCCTGAGGCAGTTGTGTGCCTAGCATGTTTCCAAAACGGCAAGAGAGCCAGAGTGATTGGGATGGAGTGAGAGAGAGCAAAAGATGTTAGGATCATAAGGACCTTCTACTACATTGAAGGCTTTGCTTTTTACTGGAAAGGAAATGGACATCCATTGGAGGTTTCTGAGCAGAGGAGGAACATAAATTCTAGAAGGCTCAGTCTTGGGCCAGGGATTTAGCTTAGTGGCACTGCACCTGCCTTGCAAGTGCAATGTCCTGATTTTGATCCCCGGTACCAAAAATAAATAAATAGAAGGCTCAGTCTGGCTTCTGGGGTGAGATTATGCTTGGAGTGGACAGAGGTTCAAGAGGCTACTATAACAGCCGGGGATTTAGCTCAGTAGTTCCGTTGCCTGCCTTGCAAGCCCAAAGACCCAAGTTCCATCCCCGGTACCAAAAAAAAAAAAAATCTAAAAAAGAGGCTACTGTAATAATGGCAGGGACAGTTCATAGTAACTTGGACCAGAGAAAGGCCTTAAAACTGGGAATGTCAGAGCTAGAAGCCATCCCAGACCTTCAGCCTAAGCCCTGGAGAGCCTGGGGAATCTTAGCTTGCATTTTTCTGCAGGGTACTTGAGGCTCAGCCAGGGTAGGTGGCTGTACTCGTTCTCTAGGATGGGTACAGGGTCTTACACTGGGTGGGATCTGGGGCACTCAAAGCTGCTGGCCCTGATCTTGTGGCTCTTTTACTGCAGTTACTGCTACCAGTGCCAGAGCCAGGTGCCACCACGAAGCGGGCATTGTTCTGTCTGCCGTGTCTGCATCCTTCGTCGAGACCACCACTGCCGCCTCTTGGGCCGTTGCGTGGGCTTCCACAACTACCGGCACTTCCTTTGCCTGCTGCTCCATGCCACTGGTGTCCTGCTCCACGTCTCTGTGCTGCTGGGCCCCGCCCTGTCAGCCCTGCTGCAGGCTCACGCCCCCCTCCACACTGCTGCCCTCCTCCTGCTGCCCTGGCTCATGCTGCTCACAGGTGGGGACCCTGGGTGGCCTGCATTGGGCCAGGGAGTAAAGCCCCTTCTAATAGGAAGTGGGGTTTCTGGCTGGTTCTCCTGGAACTACCCCGGGCCCAGTCCTGTGCCATTTGTGGGGCTAAGGGCAGTCTGGTGGGTGTGCAGACCTGTCGAATACACCATCTCTAGGCAAGGGATGAGTTTTGTCTGGGAGAGGAAGGTAAGATTCCAGGATTTTTTGGCAGAGGAAGAAAGAGCTGTAGGGGCCCATGGGGGTGGTGGGTGGTGGCAAAGCATTGTTAGAGGAGGTGGGCACTCTTAAGTGAGGGCAGCTGCATGAGCAAAGGCCAGAAAAGGAGCAAAGGCAAGTTGGTAGGAATTGGGAGAATGAAGGCTAGGACAGTAGATCAGGACTGGATGGTGGAAGGCCTTGAATGCTGGCTTGAGGACCTGGCTCTGCTTTGACTGGGCAGTGGGGAGCCAGTGAATGTTCTGGGCAGGGAAGCACCCAGTCACTGGGAGTTGAGAGGGAAAGACAGGACAGGGGTCTAAGGTGCAGTGTTCTGAGTGACGAATACTTTCTCCTCTGACACTCCCCATGATAATATTTCCAAAGATCTTTTTACTCTTTGTTCTCTCCCTGTCAGGATGCTTTCTCTCTTGCGTTCTTCCTCCTGACCTTCCCACCATCCTTTATAAACTTGTCCAGTTAGCTACCTCCCCAACTCTGACATGTCACTGTGCCTTCTTATCCTATCCCAGCCCAGCTCTGGCCCAGACCCCCCCCCCCCCCCCCCGCCAGCCCAGGGTCAGACTCTGGAGGCCCACAGGGGTTGTCAGAGTCTTCGGCCCCCAGTGACTCTTTGAGCAGCCCTCCTCCACCCACCTTGCTTCCCCTGGGCTGCACTGAGGCTCAGCGCTCCAGCTCCTTCTCCTTGCTGTCCTCGCAGCCTCCTGCCGCTGCTCCCAGTCGCCAGACTCAGGCTCCATCTCCTAAGCTCTCAGGCCTGGGCCCTGAGAATATAAGCATCTGAAAGTCTGTGTGAATGGTCCCATTTGTGCCTAGATGGCTCTGTTTCTTGACCTCCTTCTCCATTTTACTTCCTTCTCCCACTCAAGTTCACATGCTCATCCTTGTCAGAATCTGAAATGTTGCCTCCCAAACCAGCCCATCAGTCAGTCCTCTTTCTGCCCTCCCCCCCTTCTCCTCCTCTCCACCTCTCGTTCTTCCACTCCATGACACCTGTCCCAGGAGCTGCTGGGCCCTGCAGGGTCCTGGCTGTCACCTTTCTGTCCACCTGCTTTCTCCTGTCTTCACTGCCTCATGTTCAATTCTGACCCCTCCATTTCCCACCACTCTCCTACCAGCACCTCAAGCTTCCTTGCTTGTATTCTCCCGGCTCCTTTGTGTTTGCCTCTGACGTGGTACCCTGCCACGTTCATGGCCGTTGACCTCAACAGGTCCTCAGCTGTAGCTGGCCAGCCTTTGTTCTCAAAAGTTTCCTCCCCCAACGACTGCAACTCAAACCTTCCCCACTCTCCTGTCCCCCAAGGTCCATCCTGGAGAGAATAGAACCTTAGATGGTACTTCCAGTCATCCTGTGCTCACCTGGCTGACTGCCTCCAGTTATGTCTGTCCTCCTCCTCCCTGCTTAGACAGCCCTCTTTGTGGTGTCTACCTATCCTCTGCATCCCGCCCCTCTGCTGGCTTCCTTTGGGGTTTCCTACCTTGTGCAGACCTCTGAGCCCCACATGCTCCTCCTGCCTTGCTCTTCTGTCCGGTCTGCTGCTTCTAGAAGGTCTTGTGCAAGGCTCACAGCTACGTTTCTCTTATTCCTCCCCTGTGCTCCAGCCTGGCTTCTGCCTTATACCTTTCTGAGACCACCCCAGGTCCAGACTGTTTCCAGCAAATCTACAGGACTTTTCCAGTTCCCTTTTTGCTTGAGGAGACCGTTTAGACTAAAAAACTGCCAGTTGTTGCATCCTTGACTGTTGTATCCTTGGCTTCACTGATACTTCTGACTTCTGACTTTCGTGATGTTTCCACCTTCCTTTCTGGTTGTCTATCTATCTGTGAAGTGGAGTCTTGCAGGTCTCAAACTCCTGAGCTCAAGCAACCTTCCTAACTCAGCCTCCCAATTATCTGGGGTTGCAGTCACCCATCACCACATGGGGCTTGCTCTCCCCTTTATCTGATGCCTGAGTGTAGCATGGTTCTCCTCTTGCTCCATGTACTCTGGCAGATCCAGCCACCCTGGGGGTTTCAGAGCCCCCACTACTCACATTATCTGTGTGTCCAACCTGAGATGGCATCTCAAACTGTACACTTCCTATCTCACCTGTGCCTCTCTGTCCCATCTACAAATAGAATGTTCTTTCTTCCACCTTGTCAGTATAGACAAAATTCACCTCCTCTGCCCTCTCAATATGTTTGTATGACAACCCTCCTACCTTGAGGATCTTTTTTATTGAGGTAAAATTCATCATATAAGCAATTTTAAAGTGTACAGTTCAGTGGCGTTTAGTATATTTGCAGTGTAGTACAGCCATTTCCACTATCACATTCTACAACATTTTCACCCCAAAAAGAAACTGTGAACCCATTAAGCAAACTCTCCTTATTCCTCCCTAATCTCTCTGGACCTGGCAGCCACTAATTGGCTTTCTCTTTCTATGCACTAGTGGATTGAGCATATCTTACATAAAGGGGACCACACAACACCTGACCTTTTGTGTCTGGCTTCTCTCTCTTAGCAGTGTTTCAGGGCATCTTGTAGTTCATTATTCAGCAGATATTTGTTGCCTCCTGTGGCATAGATGGTACAAGATGCTGTACTTTTTTGTTGTGATACAGACCATAGTTGTAAAGAAATAGCAAACATATCTGCTTAATGCCTGAGAGCACCCTGAGGGCAGAGATGCCATCTTATCCCAGTTTTTACAGTATCCAGCCTTTAGGCAGTCACCAAGTTTGTGATACATGAAATGGAAGTCATCACAGGCAGGAGTGTCTGTCCCGCTTACAATTGTGTTCCCATAATCCAGCATGGGTTGGCCAGTCAGTAGCAACCTGGTGTTTGCAGAGTGGAGCAATGAGCTCTGGAGGGTAGAGGTAGACCCTGGGGGCAGGACTGGGCTTTGGGAGGGCTGGGCCCAGCTGCTGCCCCCTGACTCTCTCTGCTCTCTCCCTGCAGGCCGAGTGTCTCTGGCTCAGTTTGCACTGGCCTTTGTGATGGATACTTGTGTGGCAGGTGCATTGCTGTGCGGGGCTGGGCTGCTGTTCCATGGGACACTGCTGCTGCGGGGCCAGACCACGTGGGAGTGGGCTCGGGGCCAGCACTCCTATGACCAGGGCGCCCGCCACAACCTGCAGGCAGCCCTGGGGCCCCGCTGGGCCCTCATCTGGCTCTGGCCCTTCCTGACTTCCCCTTTGCCTGGGGATGGGATCACTTTCCAGACCACAGCTGATGTGGGACTCATGGCTTCCTGACTCCAGGAGGAGCCAAAACTAAACAGGGCAGAGAGGAGCTGGACGGTGTGTGTAGGGGTAGGGGTTTTTAACATATTTTCAGCCCCACCTCCAGGCACAGGAGGGAGGCCAGGTTGTCCCTTATCCTTGCAGTGGGCAATTCCAGCCCTTTCTCAGCCTTTCTTGCCCCTGCCCAGCTTCCAGCTTGGTCTCAGGTCTTGTGACTATGCCTCTCCTGGCAGAGATTACAGAAGAGAGTCTAGCAAGGGGCTGCTTGGCTGCTGCTCTGCCAGGCTAATAAATTGACCATTGGGTCCTTGGCTTCCCTCTGTCCTTTACTGAGTTTCTGGTCCTTGTTTTGTTGCCTTGGCTGCTGTTTCTAGTTCCTCCATTAGGCCTGGAAGCCACAGAATGTCTGAGGGCCCAGGGCTGGGCCTCCTCTGGCTCTGGCAGGGGAATGGGATACAAGCAGTGGGAATCCAGACATGCTTTACATTTTACCAGTCTTTATGATTGGAAGCATTTCTGCAACATTCTAAGAACTAAGTTTGGAACCTCTCTTAGCTAATGTGATACACTGGGTAGTAAGTATGCTTATTTGGTGAGTGAAAAATGTAAAACCGGAGGAGTTGATGTGCTAAGGTCATGGGGTAATAAACAAAGGAGGCAGGATTTGAACTCAGGACTTTGTGCTTTCCCCTCACCATGCACAGATGGCGAGGAAAGGGAGCAGGAAAAGAATCAGGGCAAAGCAGCCAGCTGGGACTGCAAAGAGGATGGCTGTGCTCTTCTGTGGCTCTTTGGAGCTGTGTGCTTCACCTATTTAATGTAGCAGTCAGCAGGCTTCAACCCACAAGTTTTCTCTGCTCTTAGAGCCTCTCTAAAATGATAGTAAAGAAATAAAAGAGATATAAATTTACAAGGGGAAGGAAGACAGTAGACAGCAGTAAGTTAAGGAGCTTGACAGTTAGCCCAGGCTGGCCTCAAACTCTCCTCAATCCTCCTGCCTCAGCCTCCCAGAGGCTATTAGCAGCCTCTAAAGTGCTGGTATTAGAGGCGTGTGCCACCCTGCCTGGCTCTTGACAATGTTTTCAAAGATGGAAGGTAGTTAGAAGCCTGTTCATCCTTTAGCAGAGAATTAGAAATTGAAATAGCATGTTCTCGGAGGGACTGAGAGGCCAGCAGAATTGCCCCCTGGAGAGGCTCAGGAATTCCACCATAAGGTAGGCAGGTGAGGCTTGGGGCCAGCAGTGGGGATAGAGAGATAGTGGCTAAGGAGCAGGCAAGCAGCTACTGCTGGGGGCCAGGTAGAGTTACTGGAAGAGAACTGGATCAGAGAAGCTCAGGTCTTGAGGGAACTGGGGAAGGTGGGGATGAGGGGCTAGACCAAAAATGAGGTTAAGTGAAAGAGCACAGATAATGCTGGGGCACTTGTGTCCTCCCAGAATGCCCAGGGTCACCCACCCTCTGACAGACTCTGCCCATGCCACAGAGGTGACTGTTTCCTCCAGTCAGCGTGCACTGTTGGTATTTTTTTAAAAAGATGTTAGGTGGGCTGGGGATTTTAGATCAGTGGTGTTGCCTTGAAAGCACAAGGTCCTGAGTTCGATCCCTGGTACCAAAGAAACAAACAAAACAAAAAAAAGATGTTAGGAATTTGTGCCTGGCACTGTGTGCTGTACATAAGCACTGGAAGATCCGTCCTGTTTCCTTCCTGCATCATCCCCCGGCCTCCAGGATATCTTATTTTCATGTTTTTATTTAATGCTGAAGAGATGCAAGAGAATATTTATAACCCCTATACAGACACACACACTCCCACTCCCACTCCCGTTTGAAGGAACTACCATTTCCTTCAGTCTTCCCTGGCAGGGAACGCACTGTCCTATCTTAATCATTCCTTGCTTTGCTTTATAGTTTTGTTATATTTGTATTGGTTTTGCATGTTTTTGAATTTTACATAAATGTAATCATGAAGTTTATTCTTCTATGACTTGTTTTTTTACTTAATGTTATGTTTCTGAGATGTATCCAAATTGTTGCATGAAGCTGTGGGGAGTTCCTTTTCCCTGCTGTACAGTGATCTACTGGATATACCACATTTAATTTTTTTACTTTGTTCCACTGGTCATTTAATATACTCATGTCCTTTGGGACTGAGAGCCCTTGCTCTTCCATATACATTTTACAATCACCTTGTCAGATTTCATCAATAAACCTCTTCATATGGAACCCTATCGAATCTATAGATGAGTTTGGAGAAATCAGAATCTCCATGACGTTCAATCTTCCAGTTCATGAACATGATGTATCTCCTCATTGAATGTTTTCAATAAAGCTATACCTTTTCTTACAAAGATCATTCCCCGAGTATTTATTTTCATGCTACTATACATGACTTAATTGGGTTCAAGCACACCTAAAACTCATTATCATTTACTTGTACATTTATGAACATACTACCCATAAAAGGTTTTGTTTATCCTTTTAAATTTCTATACCTCTATTCTTGGACTTCTGTATGGGTGAGACTACTATAGATAATGGAGTACTGGCAGGGTGCACTCTTATCTCTGACTTTGGGGGATTAAGTTTAATATTTCACCATTAATATGGTCATTATGGGTTTTTGCTTTAATAGATGCTATTTACTAGACTAAGCAAGTTTTCTTCTATTCCAAATATGTTGTTTTTGTCTATTTATTATTTATTTATTGAGACAGTATGTACTCCAGGCTAGCCTTGAACACACAGTGACCCTCCTATCTCAGCCTCCTGAGTCCTGGGATTATACACCAAGCCCTGCCTGTCTGTTTACTTTCCTTTTTTGTTTTGGTACCAGATCGAACTCCAGTCCTTGCGTGAGGCAGGCAGCCAAAAAACTGAGCTAAATCCCCGGCCCTATTTTCCATTTTTGTCTCTTAACAATGGCTTTGCTGGGTGTGGTATCCCATGCCTATAATCCCAGCTACTCAGAAGTCTGAAGCAGGAAGATCACTAGTTTGAGGCCAGCCTGGGAAACTAGTGATAGCCTGTTTCAAAACAAAGTAAGGGTTGGAGATGTAGCCCAATAGTGAAGCACTTGCCTACCATGACTAAGGCCCTGTTTCTTTTTTTTTTTAATGTATAACTTTATTATCATTCACTAAACATACATATACAAAAATTAAAATTATTCAAAGAAAAGCAATACAAAGGGAAAAAAACTATAATAATATTCAAATATAACAGAACTCAACCAAAGCAAAACTGAAAAGTACTTAAACATTTTTCCATATAATTTTAAAAAACATCTCAGGCATTAACAAGACATCAGAAGATGTGATTTGTTTTAGAAAGATTTTCAAAACTAATATTGAACAAATAGTGGTCTGGAGAAAAAATTCTAATTAACTAGTAGACTCCATATAGGCCAAATTGTTTTTAAATTTAAATTTCAATATAGTCATGTGACACGTGATGGAAATATAATGAGAAATATGTTATTAGGCAATTTCATCTATGTGTATCGCAAAGTACCACACAGAGTGTCAACTTCTAAGTGCAAACTGAGAAGGTATACATCAATCATCTGTGATGGCCCCTTGATATTATCCAAATACAGTTAAACACGAGATACATGAGGCTACCACTGGCATAGCAGCACACTGTTTTACAGTAAACTTTTATATAAGTAGGATTATGCTCTAAAGGATGAAAAGCACAGCATGTTATGATAAGTACCTAAAACAGTAACAGTCATCTATCACACTATCAAGTACTGTGTACTGTACATAGTTGTATGTGCTTCTTCTGGAAACACCCTTCTCTCCTTTGATCTCAGTGACTTTTCCTTCCCAACCCACTGATGAGCTCCAGCCTAGTCTCTATCCACATCTCTTCCTATAGTTTTAAACACAATCTAAGTATGGGTTCTTTCCAGATTCCAGCCTGTAACTCTGATCTCTCCCCTTCCCCTCCTGCCACCCCTACCCCTTTGAACCTATTCTTCATATTTCATGTTATCAATTATTCATTTTTATTATTTTAAACCTTATTTACACTTTCAGTTTCTCACACCAGAGAAACTATTCGGTATTTACACATGTGTGTCCTATTTATCTCACTTAAGAGGATGCCCTCAATATGCATCCATTTAGCTATAAATGTCT